ACACAGTATACTGCCATCACTACAATATACATGTTTTGCATACTTCTTTATTTTGCTGACAGTTTTATTCACAGGCTTTCTGCAAAATGCCACACACTTCAAATTCATGCCAACTGATATTGTTGCATCCAGTAGATGTCCTACTAGAGCAAATGAAGCTTCAAGAAGCTTTGCGCTGGAGTGAACCAATTGGATGAAAGGCTTCATTGCTTCATGAAGCTTCATCTGCCCATCACTACAGAAAACAGTAAATGAGTACGGTTTACCGTAGAGGCAGGAAACAGCAGTACATCCGTCTTCTTTGGTTTGGCATTCAGTCGGCACCATTTTAACGCCGCTTAACATACACTTCAAAATGACCTTAACAAATATCCCACTACGTTTGCCTTGCACACATCTAAGGTACCTTAGCTTGTCACTGAACTGACACTGTTTCCTTTATTTGATTACCCATCTCAGGGACAGCTAATTTGATGTGGATTGCTCTACATGTGTGTACAGATATCTTGTAAACCCAGATCAGACTCTCCAGATCCATTATGTGACAGCCCAGGATGCTGGGAAGTACACCTGCACTGCTGCTAATGATGTAGGTGTGGTCACTGCCAGCGCACAGCTACTAGTTGAAGGTAAGATGAAGTCTGAAAAAGCTGCATTCCCCAAACATTTACGAGTTTTTTAGATGTTTTAAAGTTATGAAGGGGACTTTCACTTTTCTCTTTGCAGGTTCGTTTACCTGTCCACAAATCATTCAAGTTACGTTCACACACAGTTGCACTATTTATCCTCACTACACACAAATAAGCCTTGACATGAGTGAGAAAATGAGAAAGAAACAAGTGTGTTTGAGAAGATACAACAAGCCAGAACTTCACAGAAACTAAAATGTAACTTGGTTTTACTGAACATAAATATGTAAATATTCCTCTTATGGAGGTATGGATAACAGGTTGGGTACTTTACATACCGATGAACTACATTAAAAATAATCCTAATTTAACTTTTAATATTTGATGTGTTTATTAGCAAGCTGAGAGTAGAGAGATGACAGAAAATGAAAGGAGAGAGAAATGTGGAATGACAAGAGTCCTGGGCGGCACTGAGCTCTAGGCCGGCAGGGCACCTGGCCTACAGCGCTTCAGTTTAAGATTAAGGTTTATTAAGATTTGTTGTTAGAAAATGTAATGAGGAAGGACACAGTACAGACTATGCAAAGTTTATATAGCAAAAGTACTTTGCTTACAAAGTTATATATTTTTCTTTTTTGAGAATGATGTTGTTTCCTCACAGCCCAGTAGGAGCTGATCAGGTGTCTGTGTAATGCATAGGCCATAGCAATACGCTGTACACACTACCAGTTATTTGTCAGAATGTATTTTACTGTTAGGCACCCAGTGGAGCTGAGAGACATTTCCTCTCAGCAACCAATTAAGAGCGTTCTGATTAGATGTAGTGTATAGTAGGTCTTTTTTTTGCTTTGATAGTAAGGCTAATATAGAATTTGCTATTTTGGTTGATTTGGAAGGATCTTGGCCATGGATTGAGAGGTAACTGGTCCAGGTGACAGTACAGAAAATTTAGGAAAGCCACCCCAAAGGATTTGTGAATTTGTTGTGGTTAGAAGAGATAAAATTAAAAGAGGAATCTTTATAAGGTGCACAAATCACCGGACATTGGGGATCCAGTGTTGTGGAGCTTGATACCCATGCTACTTGATCCAGATATTTCTGTTCTTAGGAAGGAGCCATTTATACCAACAACTGGATTAATAACTTTGACAAAACACTCTCATGTTTCCAGAGGCTGCCAGCACTAAACAGAAAGACCTTCACAAAGAGCTGTCAGCCCTGCGGGTGGCTCTGGAAAACGTCACCATCATGGCCCCTGGGTCCAACGTATCCCAAGTACAATGGAAGGTATGGGAAATTTGTATCAGAGAGTTTCAGATGAATATTTCAGGTGTGATCTGTGTTGCGTTTTCTCTCTGACCAGCTCCAGTCCCTCCCAGCCCAGCCACATTACCTTGATGGCTTTGAGGTTCTCTATCGCTCGCTGCTACCTGCCAGCTCGGACTGGGCAGCAAAGAAGGTGACACTGCCCAGCTTCCAGGCTCAGGTGGGCCCCTTAAAGAGAGGGTACAAGTATGAGTTCAAAGTCCGTCCCTTTGGGAGCAAATTATATGGGAGGGAGAGCAACACCCGGCACCTCAGAGTTCCAGAGACAGGTGAGAAATCTTTTTATCTGAAAACATCTGTGTGTGTTCTATTGCTTTTAAGGCTTGCATGTGTGGAAAAACTTGAATATGTGGTACTGCGTTAAGCAGATAATAGTGAACTCTCACTTCATTATACAGTGCCCAGTGCTCCTCCGCTGGCTGTGTCCATAACAGTGAGCCATGAGCAGAATAACACCATCCACCTGAGCTGGGAGCCACCTCCTCATGAAACCCACAATGGTATCATCCAGGGTTACCAGGTAAAAACTCAAGAACAGCACAGCACATGGTCCTAACATAACCCTAGCTTTAATCATTTGATAAAAACTATTAATGACCCTAGGTCTCTTAAGGATATAAACTATTTTCCTGGTCAGGTGTGGTGTGTGGAGTCTGAGGAGCAACAGTACCAAAACTGGACGGTGGACAGTGGCCAACACAACCTCCATATCTCTACTCTGAAACCAGGGAAACGATACTGGCTCACCATAGCAGCTGTCAATGGAGCTGGAGTAGGAATGCTGAGTGATCCTCATGGATTTGTCATCAGTGAGCAAACGGACACTTGAGGAAGTTTTTGCCTTTAGTTTGTGTATCAGGACAGTGCATAGATAAAATCCAGTCTCAATCATCAGTGTGAGATTCACAACACTGAAGGCAATTAGTTATCATGACTGATTTCATCTGCTTCCTGTTTTCTTCTCAGACCCACAAACAGGTGGTCCTCCTGGGGACAGCCAGAGACGGGATCTGTCTCACTACTTGACCCTGTTTCAGGACCCAGTCTTGATTGGCCTCCTTGGTGCCCTCCTGTGGTGTATTCTAATGGTTGCAGCTGTCTGTCTCTACAGACGCCACAGCAGGGCAGGCCACCTGATAACAGGACATGGCAGGGCCAAAGGTGTGTATTGAGACGGCTTAAAGGTTAACATAAATACTCATTAATAGAAATGAATGTAAATGTCCCAGCTACACCTGCAGGACATTACATTACATGTTTAATTCATCCATCCATCCATTTTCCTCTGCTTATCCGGAACCGGGTCGCGGGGGCAGCAGTCTAAGCAAAGATGCCCAGACTTCCCTCTCTCCAGACACTTCTTCCAGCTCCTCCGGGGGAATACTGAGGCGTTCCCAGGCCAGCCGAGAGACATAGTCCCTCCAGCGTGTCCTGGGTCTTCCCCGGGGCCTCCTCCCGGTGGGACATGCCCAGAATACCTCCCTAGGAAGGCGCCCAGGAGGCATCCGAAACAGATGCCCGAGCCACCTCAGCTGGCTCCTCTCGATGTGGAGGAGCAGCGGTTCTACTCTGAGCTCCTCCGGGGTGACCAAGCTCCTCACCCTATCTCTAAGGGTGCGCCCAGCCACCCTGCGGAGAAAGCTCATTTCGGCCGCCTGTATCCGGG